GCTTTCCACCCATTGCTCTTACTCAGCTCCCTGTTGTACATCAAACATTCTTAGATTTGGTCTTTTGAGGTAATTTTCTACTTCTTGTAGGAGATCTCCATTTCTTTCTGTTCTTTTTCCTTTTTATTCTCTGACTCTGCATTTCCAAGTAGCCAGTCTTTGAGCTCACCGATTCTTTCCTCTGTTTGATTCTCTTATGAGTTACTCAGTTCATCAAATGCATTTATCAGTTCCAAGATTTCTGTTTCTTTTTTATTGTTTCAATCTCTATGTTAAATTTCTCTGAGAAATTTCTGAATCACTTTTCTGTGTTATCTTAGGTATCATTGAGCTTCGTTAAAATTGCTACTTTGAATTATTAATCAGAGTGCTCACAAATCGCTATCTTGTTAGGGTCAGTCACTGGGTTTTGGCTTTGTCTTTTTGGGAAGCTCATGGTTCCCTCTTTGCTATTGTTTCTTGTGGATATACATCTATGCGTTTACATTGAAGGATTAGTTATTTATGTCAGTTTTCTCTGTCTAGCTTGTTTTTGTTTTATTGGATATATTTGCTCAGTGAATCTTCACTCCTAGGTCACTGCCCTTTTTCTGGCTCTAGGTGGCACCTGCGTCCAGGTTCGCCTCAGCTCTAGCAAGTGGGTCAGAGTCCTGCCTGTCCCAAGTGGGTGAGGTCCCAAACGGATTATCTTAGCAGTATTGGAAGGCTGGCTAGGGGTTCGTGCCCAGGTGACCTGTAGGATAAGCCTGCTACAGCATGGTGCTGCTTAACGGCCTCATAGAGTTTCCAGGGCTGGGATGGTAGTCCTCCCTCCCTCATTTGTCTTTGTCTATCCTCTGGGTTATGTCTGCCTTCAGACAGTCATGATGTGTTCTGTGGTTTAAGGCAAGGACAAGTCTCCTCCTAGGGAAGCCAAGAAGGTGGAGAACTCTGGTGCTGAATTCGGAAGACCCTGAGGACTGTTGAGCAGGTGTGTACATACCTGGAAGAGACCTGTTTACATAACCATTGACTGTGTGCATTTTAGGCCAGGCTCGAGCAGCTGCAGCATCCCTATCCTGTATCAAGGAGTTCTTTGTTTCTGTGTGCCAACTTTTCCCTGATGAGAGAGAAGGCAAAGATAGAGTCAGCTAAGCATGTGTCTCATGAATGACCCCCTCCTCCGCTTTCTCCTTCCTCACAGTCTGCTCACACCTTCAGCATTTTTGTCAGCAAAGTAGGCACACAGGACTTATCCTCTTAAGTCAGTGAGAGGGAGGGAGAAGACAATTATCTAAAGGCAGACATCTCTTGCTCAAACTGATTTTCTCTCCCTCTATTTGACCATGACAATAAGTGGGAATTAATAATAATAGAAGAAGAGAGAATATTGGTTAGCTTGAGGCATAAGGAATCGATTCTGTTTATTAGCTGTCTTATTTAAAAGGAAGCTTATGATAATCATCCCAGGGGCTGGGCACAGTGGCTCAAACCTGTAATCCTAGCACTTTGGGAGGCCAAGGCAGGCAGATAGTTTGAGGTCAGAAGTTCGAGACCAGCATGGCCAACATGGTGAAACCCCATCTCTACTAAAAATACAAAAATTAGGCAGGCATGGTGGCAGGCGCCTGTAATTCCAGCTGCTCAGGAGGCTGAGGCACATGAATTGCTTGAACCTGGGAGGTGGAGTTTGCAGTGAGCCAAGATTGTGCCACTGCACTCCAGCCTGGGCAATGAAGTGAGACTCCATCAGAAAAAAAGAAAATTGTCCTAGGAAAAAGGCTGTTTGTCACTCCCTGTCTCTGTTATAATTGCTTCATCCAAGCTTGTCTTTATGAAACCCCAGGACCCTGAAAGCTTCCTGAGACCACCTTTGAAACTGACAAGGGCTGAAGCACTAGAAATACTATTGGACAGTGACTCCCTGGAGTTACCCCTTTGTGTGAGCAGAGGTCTCATGCAAGAAAAAGCATCACATATTTGGGTGACATGGAAGATAAGGCAGGAAACGGAACAGATCAAGGCTGGAAATGTCACCAGGAAATAGATAATGCATTATGCACTTTACCTGGAAAATGAATGATTTTGTTTTGTTGTTTTGTTTTGTTTTTCGAGATAGGGCCTGGCTTTATCAACCAGGCTGGAGTGTAGTGGTGCAATCACAGTTCACTGCAACCTTTACCTCCTCAGCTCAAGTGATCCTTTCACCTCAGCCTCCCAAGTAGCTGGACTACAGGCATCCGCCACCATGACCGGTTGATTTTTGTAATTTTTCTGTAGAGATGTGGTTTCACCCTGTTGCCCAGGCTCATCTCAAACTCCTGGGCTCAAGCAATCTGTCCGCCTCAGCCTCCCAAAGTGCTGGGATTACAGGTGTGAGCCACCGTACCTGGCAAACCGAAGTATTTTAGAGGCTAGAGTGAGAAGATCAGATACTCACTTCAGGAAGCTTCCTTTGGGAGTTATGACACATATCATGAGGGCCTCAATTAAGATGATGGCAATGTAAATGGATAAGAGGGGCAAGAAGAAGATGATGTTATTGTTATTGATTACATAATGATTACATTAGGAGGAGGAAGAGGTGGAAGTACTAACACTATTGAGGGCCTACTCTATGCGATACAGTGCTCTAAATTACTTAAATGAAATCACTCAGTCCTCACAACAATCCTATGAAAAACGTACTATTATTTTTATTTTAGATTTGAGGAAACTGAGACACAGAGACGTTAAATAACTTGCCAAAGGTTGTCCATTTAATAATAGACGAACATAAGATAAATTATTTAGAAAGTAGAGCCCAAAGTATTTGTTGATGGTCTTAATGAGGGGGATGAGGGCACTCTGTCACCCAGCTCCTCTATCTTCTTACCTCATAGCTTCCAATGGAACTGAGGTTACATTTTGTTCTCTTGGAATTCATTTTCAACCCCATCTCCTTCATTCCTGAACAGTAATGTAGTTTACGAGCTTTCTATAATCACCTCCTCTTAATAGTAGCAGAGGATTTATTTCAGGAATCCAAAATTCAGATTGAGACTCACTAACCTTCATCAAATACAGCAAAAAGCAGTACAAATTTGTGCAAGGTCTGTGTCCTTTCCTTGGCCAGACTCCCTGAAAAAGAAGTGAGAGCATTTATCTTCTATTTTAAAAATTCCACTCTAGGAAATTGTCACTAGGATGAGACATGTCTTCATCAGTTACTTGAGAGTAAGAACAAATGTTGTCTTCTGTCTCTTCTTAACTTTGCTTTGTTGTTTTGATCTCAGGTCTCCTATACTAGTGTTTCTAAAACAACCTGGAGCAAAGAATTTTTTTTTTCCAAATTTGCTGAAGACTACTACTTGTGTAAAACACAATACAAATTAATTACTAAAAAAGAGATTAAAAACACATACAAAATACAAGCCTTCACACACACACGCACATCACAAAGAAAAATTACAGCAACAGTACACATTGCTTCTGAAAAAAATGTGCATATAGGCAATTAATATAGAGAATTTCTATTACTCTTGTAACTTTTTTTCACTTCTGCAACTGTAAATTAAAAGTTTTGAGTAAAATAACAATTGTCCACATTGAACACCTATACTCACGATGTTTTTTTCACTAGCCCACAGTGCTTCTATATATACTTACATTTTAAGTGAATACCACCTATAGCAATAGCTAAAGTTTTTAATGGAACAAACTATCATGCTTCATGCTTTAACTGTTGAGCTTGTTGAGTATCTTTCTTTGCATTATATATATTTTAATTTGACTGGGAACTTTTGTTTGCAGGCTTATTTTGAGTAGAAAGATTTTTGTTTATGACATTTTTCATTTCTTTCTCTCTCGTACCAAATCATTCTCAGCAAACTGACACAAGAACAGAAAACCAAACATCGCATGTTCTCACTCACAGGCAGGTGGTGAACAATGAGAAAACGTGGACTCAGGGAGAGGAGCATCACACACTGGGGTCAGTTGGAGGGGCTAGGGGAGGGACAGCTGGGGGTGGGGAGGGTGGGGAGGGATAACATGGGGAGAAATGCTGGATATAGATGAAGGGGGAATGGAGGCAGAAAACCACCTGGTTATGTATGCACCTATGCAACAGCCCTGCATGACCTGCCCATGTACCCCAGAACCTAAAGTAAAATAAATAAATAAATAAAAGAAATAAAAATTAGCTTGGACTAAGAAAGTAACAAAATGTGTGCTGCTACTCATCAGGCTGGGATAGGAGACATAGATAAAGCTAACTGCAGAGTTAACAGTATTTCTCCCAAGGACACATTGCCACTGTACAAACTCACTGAATGTCAACTGTTTTCTTTAATAATCTGTCGCTCAACTGAGTTGTTTGTTCTCTTTTTTCAGGGCCTGTCAGAAATGTTCAAAATAATAGCAATAAGAATGAAACATCCCATTCTTTCCTAGGTCATCTAAATTACTTTGACACAAAGAAGCAGCTCAACTTAAAGCTCAAGCTTCAGGTAAGGGGTGCCTTCACTTAACATTTCATGTCCATGTTAACTTTTTAGTTTCCATGGAACCAGGACACTTCACAGTCTAGATCTCATGGTTATTTCTTTACACACAACTCTACTTTGCTTCATTTAAATATCATCTAACCTCCACCCTTCCCCAAAATTCTTTACTAACTGAATACAGTATTTCCCTTTGTTTAGGGAGGTGTCCACAGTCTCTTGTTGCTATGAACCAATAAATCTGACTTTGTTGAACTATAGTGATCTTTGCTGTCCCTTGTGATCATTGGTTGATTAAGCAAAAGATGTGTTCACTATTCTCTATCTAGCAAATCACACCTAGAATGGAATTTTGGAGATACTGCCCAATGGAAACCTTGGGGATATTGCAGATTCTCCCACTGAACCAAGAGAAAATTTAGTTCAGTTCTTATTCTAGGACTGGGTTTGCTTTCCCCTCTTCTAGGTCCCTGAGTTTCCACAAAGCCATGGCCGCAAACAAAGAGTAGGCAGCAGCTGTGCTCAGCTCTCTTTCAAGTGAAGAGGAGCCCAACGCTATGATATGGGCTCTCAGTCCACCTGGTTCCAGGTCCTTCTGGTGGAGAGCGCTATTTACTCTTGTCACCCTGACCCAGATCTCAGTTGGCCTGTGATTTCCACCTCTTTAGCTACTCACAGTTCCTGTTCTGCTTTTGGTCCACATATATTTATGTTCTTTTTCAGCTTGACCATGCCTTTTCAACTTTCTCTATTTATGGTTTACCTATCTTTGCTGTTGCTTTTCAGCAGAGGTCAGGGTTGAGGTGGAGGATGGAAAAATGGCTAAGTAGGAAGACCCTGTGCCATCTTTATCAGAAGTACTGGATTAAAAACTTTAGAGACAAATTTAAAATATATAAAAAGCTGTCTTAAAACATTTTAATTATTTTAATATAAATTTTCTATTATCATATAGTGAAATTAGCTTTTCTTTTTCTTTTGGTGTATATGTCAATCACTTTTAAAAAAGATATAAGCTTATGAAACCCCACCATCAGCAAGATACAGATCCATTTCAATATCCAAAAAGAACTCCCTCCTGCTATCCCGTTATAGCGTACATCTAATTTTATAAGAAACTGCCAGAGTGTTTTTTTGCCACAGACAAATTGCCATTCTGTTTTCCAGGATGGCTATACCACTGTGCATTATGAGACTTTCTGCTGCTCTGATTTCTTGACAGCATCCTCGGCAATTTTATATTATTATTTTAGCTATTCTAATAGATATATTACTGTTGTGTGAATTTGCATTTCCCTAATGGTTCATGATGTTGAATACCTTTTCATGTTTTGACCGACACCGTTAAGAGAATAAAAAAACAAACTTTGAGTGGGAGAAAATACTTGCCACTCACATAACTGGCAAGGGACTTACATCCAAAACGAAGTTCACATTCAGACTTAAGCTCCATCCCCAAGCTATCTCATTATATATGTGTAAATATCCCAGTATCTGAAATCTGAAACATTTTTGGTTCCAAGCATTTCAGTTAAGGAATACTCAATCTGTATTTTGCATGCAGATATTCACCTGTTTCAGCACTGTTTATTGAAGAGAGTATTTTTTCCCCCATTGAATGGTTTTGGCACCCTTGGCAAAAATCAACTGCTCATAGATATGTGTATGGGTGTACTTCTGTACTCTCAATTCTGTTCCATTGGTCTCTGTGTGTATCCTTATACCACAGATTTGTACCACTTCAACTTTCTTCATATTCATGTTTACATCATATGTCCTTCTCCATCCTTATGCTTGTAACCTACCTATATCATTCTTTTTGAAATGAGTTTCTCGTAAAGAAAATATAATTGTTTTTTTATCCAGTGTACTAATCTCTGTTTTTAATTGGTGTGTTTAAGCCATTTGCACTTAATATAAGTATTGATATGTTTAGACTTTAGTCTATAATTTTATTATTATTTTCCTGCTTCTTCTCTCTGATTTTCATTTCTCCTTACTTGCCTTCTTTTGAGTAATTTGAACGTTTCTGATATTCCATTGTAATTAGTTTATGTGTTTTTTTACTATATCTCCTTGTATAATTTTTTATTGGTTGCTCTAGGGATTACAAAATTCATACTTAACTTTTCACTATCCACTTAGAATCAACATTTTACCGTTTGAATTGGAATTAAGTTGAATGGACCATAAAGCTTTCCTTACCCTCCTCTTGTTATGCTATGGTTCTTTTATATATTATATCTACCATACATTAAAAAAACCTATCTCACAATGTTCTATCTTTGTGCTCAACCATCAGACTTTTTTTTGAGACAGAGTCTTGCTCTGTCGTCAGGCTGGAGTGCAGTGGCGCAATCTTGGCTCACTGCAACCTACGCCTCCTGGGTTCAAGAGATTCTTCTGCCTCAGCCTCCCGAGTAGCTGGGACCACAAGCGCATGCCACCACGTCCAGCTAATTTTTGTATTTTTAGTAGAGATGAGGTTTCACCATGTTGGCCAGGCTGGTCTCGATCTCTTGACCTTGTGATCCACCCACCTAGGCCTCCCAAAGTGCTGGGATTACAGGCGTGAGCCGCCACGCCTGGCCCATCAGACATGTTTTAAGGAATTCTGTGAGCTGTGGTTTCAGTGTTAGATCAGTTTTAAAGCCTTTGCAGTGCCATTGAGCCCAACCCAGTGGTCAGTCTGGTACTTGAGTCTCAGTTCTCAGTCTTCAGCATGCTAATTAGGGTTTCATCCAGGTATGTGTGGGTTGGGGGTGAATCCAGGAGTTAATGCACAACTTTATGGGTTTATTTTCCTGGGATCTTTACTCTCTGTTATCTATAAACTTTCTAGTTTTGTAAGCTCCCTTTTTTGGTTTTCTAACCAGAAACTTCCAACTCCCACAACTACATGATAGCTAAGGCTGAGCAACGGAAGAAGAAAGAGAGAGAGAAAAGTAACCTGCATTTGCCCCAGTGTCTTAGACCCATTGCTCTACTGAATGAAGAATAATGTGCCCTTCCCTACGCTTTTGCTCTTGCAGGTTTCTGTTGCCAGCCACTGTCATTGCCACAAGCAACCTGGAACTGAAGCTGGAGAGAATGGCGGAAAAGAAGACAAAAACCCTAGGGGATTTCCCCTCTCATGCTCTCTGAGCATTAAAAAAGAGTTACCTTTCCCACTCCTTCAAACCCTAGAGGGTTTCTCCTGGAGCTCTCTTTGCAACACAGTACTCACTTCCAAGTTTCCAGTTATGTTTTCATTCAGATTAAGGAATAGGAGAGTGGGGAAAAAGGTATAATCCCCCACCAGTTGGGTAATACTTTGAATTCTGGTGCCTTTTCTCTATATACTTGTTCTATTTGCTTTTTAGAATTTTTAAATATATGGGCTTAGCAGTTTGTCAAGGTTTTATTGTTAAGTTCAATGGGAAATAAAGGGTGGAGTGCGTTTATATATTTTACCTGGAACTAGAACCTCTGTTGACTCTTTAACTCGACCCTGTGTCAAAGAGTTATTTGGGTTTTTAACTTATTTCTTTATATGTCATATGTAAACAGTAATGTTTTGATGATGTCATTGTTCCATTAGCCTTTTTACTCCATAAATAACACACTGTGGCTTTGACACTTTCTCATTAGTTATAACTGTGAGACTGAACCCAGTATATGAGAAATCATACTTTCACTCGAAACTGTTATAAACTACAAACCTTTCTCATCTTCCAATCCTTGCTCCCATCGGTTTTTGAATCACATTCATCATCACCATTCAGAAAGAGTATGGTGACTCCTGTTAATAAATTCTTTGCCAAAAAGAAATAAATGTTTTGCCTATTCCCCATGAAAAGCTGGAATCCCCCTCTATAGACTGGCCTTAGTGATGCATTCTAACTAATAAAATGTATGTTAATGTGAGTGATTTCTGAGGTTAGCTTAGAAGGCGAAACAGCTTCTAATGGGCTCTTTCAGGACCATATAAGAAGTCTGGCTAACCTGTAAGCCCCATCTGAGAGAGACCATGTGGAGAGTGCCATCAAGCCAAGGTTAAAGACGTGAATAAAGTTACCTTTGGGATGATTTCAGTCTGGCCACTGATTATAGCCTCATGAGAAACACTTAGACCACTAAGTCAAAACACTCTCAAATTCCATGAGACCCACAGAAACCATGAGAGATAATAAATGATTGTTGTTGTTTTAAGCCACCAAATAGTGGAGTTATGCAGTACAAGATAACTGAAACAAGAAAAAGGTACAGTGAAGCTGATTTCGCCATAAAAAATAGGATGAAAGCCAGGGCACAGTGATTCACACCTGTAATCCCAGCACTTTGGGAGGCCGAGGCAGGCAGATCACCAGGTCAGGAGTTCGAGACCAGCCTGGTCAATGTGGTGAAAACCTGTCTCTACTAAAAATACAAAAAAACCCCAAAACTAGCCGGGCATGGTGGCATGTGCCTGTAATCCCAGGTACTTGGGAGGCTGAGGCAGAAGAATTGCTTGAACCCAGGAGGCAGAGTTTGCAGTGAGCCAAGATTGCACCACTGCACTCTAGTCTGGGCGACAGAGTGAGACTTTGTCTCAAAAAAAAAAAAAAAAAAAAGAATAAACAAACAAAAAAACCAAATTATGTAAAATTTACTTCCATAATTTATGCTAAGATATAAATTAAAAATGTTTGTTTAAAATTATTTTTAGAATATATTAATTCAATCTAAATTAATTTTCAGTAACATATATAAATAAATGCTGACTTTTCTTAGATTTTTTTTTTAGATTTTTAAAAATTACTATTTATTTATTTTTATTGCATTTTAGGTTTTGGGGTACATGTGAAGAACATGCAAGATTGTTGCATAGATACACACATGGCAGTGTGATTTGCTGCCTTCCTCCCCATCACCTATATCTGGCATTTCTCCTCATGCTATCTCTCCACATCTCCCCACCCCCCGCTGTCCCTCCCCTATTTCTCCCAACAGACCCCAGTGTGTAGTGCTCCCCTCCCTGTATCCATGTGTTCTCATTGTTCAACACCCGCCTATGAGTGAGAACATGCGGTGTTTGATTTTCTGCTCTTGTGTCAGTTTGCTGAGAATGATGGTTTCCAGGTTCATCCATGTCCCTACAAAGGACACAAACTCATCGTTTTTGATGGCTGCATAATATTCCATGGTGTATATGTGCCACATTTTCCCTGTCCAGTCTATCGTTGATGGGCATTTGGCTTGGTTCCAGGTCTTTGCTATTGTAAACAGTGCTGCAATGAACATTCGTGTGCATGTGTCCTTATAGTAGAACGATTTATAATCCTCTGGATATATACCCAGTAATGGGATTGCTGGGTCAAATGGAATTTCTATTTCTAGGTCCTTGAGGAATCGCCACACTGTCTTCCACAATGCTTGAACTAATTTACACTGCCACCAACAGTGTAAAAGTGTTCCTATTTCTCCACATCCTCTCTAGCATCTGTTCTCTCCAGATTTTTTAATGATAGCCATTCTAACTGGCGTGAGATGGTATCTCAATTTTTCTTAGATTTTTATATGCTTTTGGTTTACAGATGACAAACTAACCACCTGAACTAGTCTATATGCCATTGATCACACACTTGGATGTGTTCATCTCCATAAAGCTTTCAAGGAACTTAGCTCTGATTGCAAAAGCAGAGGATAGTAGAAATCACTACTGATGAAGCCCACAAATTCAAAGAGGAAAACAGCAATGCTTTGAGAGGAGAGACTTAATTCTGAAACTCAGTTGCTCCTAATCCAAGCTTAGAGTTTATTGTGGTTATATAGAATGCATATCTGCTTCTCTCAGAAGCTGGATTATTCTTTCCACGAGCATGATACTAGAGTAAAGAAGCCTCTTTCAGGTGAAGGAATACAAATGCTAGCTGTTTAAATAGACTCAGTTGATTGTACTTCTCTGCTTATTTCATCTCAGTCCTACCCTTTCATACACTTACCTTCTCTACATACTAACAGAGCTCCAATGAGGCCTGAATTCAAGTCTTTCACCAGGTCCACATGAGAAAGATATGAGTAGGTAAGGCACAGTGGGTCAGAAGCCATTGGACCATTCTCTTTCAGGACATGCCAGACATATGTATGGCTCCCACCAGGAAAGACTTTATCATCTTCTTTCTCCCTTTGAGTGGTCTGATCATCATATTCAGCTCCTATATCAAGAAGAAATAAGATTGTCCTTTCTATACCCATTGTCCACTCAAAGAAACATGTCAAGTTTATTCTCACCAACAGGTTCTACATAGGAAACAGACTTTTGGCATATTAATTTGAAAAATTAACAAGCAGCAGCCACAAGTGGGGAGAACTCCACATTCTGTTAAACAATAAAATTGCCTCCATTATTGCATCTTTTTGCCTACTTCAACAACAAATACACTTTGACACAGACTGTTTGGTAGGCACTAATGAGGGTCAGGGAAGGGTAAGAAAGAGAGATTTAAGAAAATTTCTTAAACTTGGTTCTTTCCTAGAGGGATGACACCATGTTTGGTGGGGGACATAGACATATAAAGATATAATACCATGTGGAAATATTCACCTATTTATTCACAAATATTTACTGAGTTCTTATTCTTTGCCAGGCTCAGCTACAAGCTGAAAATATAAAGATCAAGATAGCAATCCAGTGGATAAAAAAAGTAAACAAACTTCCTACTCTTCAGTAATGTTTGATGAAGGAGGTGGAATTTGACATGAATCTTAAATTGGTTTGCTCTCTCCTTTTAATAAAGCAGGTCACACTGATCTTGTATCCAGTGAAAAATAATGTGTAACATTCAACTTGTGTAATATTCTCCAAGGAAAAGGAGATTCCTACAGGCTAATTTTTGTAACTTCCCTTTGTTAGCATATAAATGACTGTATGGGGATTTTTGTGTTGAAAAGTTTAAATTTTACACTAGTTTTCTTATATACTTTCAGTAATTATCGAGTCTTAATATTAGGCTAAAAAACTATAAAATATTTTCAAGATTATAATAAAACCTTAACGAAGTTTTTAAAAAGATATATCTGCATTCCTTTTCATGTGCTTAATATAAAGAATGTAATATTTTTGTGAGTGGATGTTAGAAATACATTGCTACTTTCACTTTTTTCTTTCAACACACTTTTTATGATGATGCATTTTAATGTACATTAAAAATTTCATGGTAGTCCACTCCTATATACTTTAGAAGTCAACTTTAAAAAAACACAGTTTCCCACATAAACAAAATGACACTAGCACACCTGACCCAGTTAAGAATGCCATATGTAGGTGATGGGGAGGAAGGCAGCAAATCACACTGCCATGTGTGTTCCTATGCAACAATTTTGCATGTTCTTCACATGTACCCCCAAACCTAAAATACAATAAAATAAATAAATG